GCCGGTCACCGGGGAAGGCCGACAGCGGGCCCCCCGCCCCGCCCCGGGTCAGCGCCGGGCCCCGAGCACCGGGAGCACCGGGAGCTGCCTGCACGCCCCTGGGCGGGCGTCCCGGGCCCCATCCTGGTGCCCAGCCTGGCCCTGGCCCTGGTCCTGGTCCTGGTCCCAGGCCTGGCACTGGTCCTGGCTCTGGTCCCAGTGCCGGCCCCATCCTGAGCCCAGCCCTGGTCCCCATCCTGGTGCTGGTCCCAGTGCTGGTCCTGGTCCTGATCCTGGTCCTGGCCCTGGTGCTGGTCCTGATCCTGGTCCTGGTGCTGGTCCCAGGCCTGATCATGGACTTGATGCTGATTCTGGCTCTGATCCCAGTGCTGGTCCCAGTCCTGGCCCTGGTGCCAGCCCCAGCCCCAATCCCCATACCAGTCCCAGCTCTGGTCCCCATCCTGGTCCTGGTCCCAGTCCTGGTCCTGGCCCTGGTGCTGGTCCCAGACCTGATCCTGGCCCTGGTCCTGGTCCCAGTCCTGGTCCTGGCCCTGGTGCTGGTCCCAGACCTGATCCTGGCCCTGGTACTGGTCCCAGTGCTGGTCCTAATCCTGACCCTGATGCTGGTCCTCATTCTGGCCCCAGTCCTGGTCCCCATTCCAGCCCTGGTCCCAGTGTCAGTCCCAATCCCGGCCCTGGTGCCACCCCCAGCGCCAGTCCCCATCCCAGCCCCAGCCCTGGTCCCCATCCTGGTCCTGGTCCTAGTGCTGATCCTGGCCCTGGTGTTGGTCCCAGTCCTGGCCCTGGTGACAGCCCCATCCCCAATCCCCATCCCAGTCCCAGCTCTGGTCCCCATCTTGGTCCTGGTCCTAGCTCTGGTCCCATTACTGGTCCTGATCCTGGCCCTGGTGCTGGTCCCAAGCCTGATCCTGATCCTGGCCCTGGTGGTGGTCCCAATGCTGGTCCTGGTCTTGGCATTGATGCTGGTCCTCATCCTGGCCCCAGTCCTGGTCCCCATTCCAGCCCTGGTCCCACTGCCAATCCCAGTCCCGGCCCTGGTGCCAGCCCCAGCCCCAGTCCCCAACCCAATTGCAGCCCTGGTCTCCATCCTGGTGCTGGTCCCAGTGCTGGTCCTCGTCTTGGCATTGATGCTGGTCCTCATCCTGGCCCCAGTCCTGGTCCCCATTCCAGCCCTGGTCCCAGTGCCAGTCCCTGGTGCCGCCCCCAGCCCCAATCCCCATCCCAGTCCCAGTCCTGGTCCCCAGTGCTGGCCCTGATCCTGGTCCCCGTGCTGGTCCCAGCCCTGATCCGGTCCCAATCCCGGCCCCGGCCCCATCCGCGGCGCTGACGCTCCCCGCTGTCTCCCCAGACCAGCATGAAGAACATGGAGCGGGAGCTGGTCTGCCCGGTGTGCAAGGAGATGTACAAGCAGCCTCTGGCCCTGCCCTGCGCGCACAACGTCTGCCACGTCTGCGCCAGCGAGGTGCTGCTGCAGCACGGCTACCTCTGCTGCGACCCCACCTCCGAGCCCTCCTCGCCCGCCGCCACCCCTGCCACCCGCAGCCCCCGCCTGGGACGCCGGGCCGTCCCCAAGCCCGACCGCCTCGACCGCCTCCTGAAGTCAGGTGGGACGGCCGGAGGGGACGGGGACGGGGTCCCCCGCGGGAGGGCCGAGCGGGTCTGGGGCGTCGAGCCCCTCCTGACGCCCTCCCCGCCTCCCTCCCGCAGGCTTCGGCACCTACCCGGGGCGCAAGCGCGGCACCGTGCACCCCCAGACCGTCAGCTTCCCCTGCCCGGCCTGCCAGCGGGACGTGGACCTGGGCGAGCGGGGCCTGGGCAGCCTCTTTCGCAACCTGACGCTGGAGCGGGTGGTGGAGCGCTACCGCCAGACCATCAACATCAGCGCCGCCATCATGTGCCAGTTCTGCAAGCCCCCGCAGCTGGAGGCCACCAAGGGCTGCACCGAGTGCAAGTCCAGCTTCTGCAACGAGTGTTTCAAGCTCTACCACCCCTGGGGCACCCAGAAAGCCCAGCACGAGCCCACGCCCCCCACCCTCACCTTCCGCCCCAAGGTACGGCCTCCCCGTCGGGGTCTTCCTTCCCCACGCGGGGTTTTGCGGGTGTCGGGGGGGAGCCCCCCGGAGGGGGGCGGACGCGGAGCCCCGCTGAGCTCCCCGGTGCTCTGCGCAGGGGCTGATGTGCCCGGAGCACAAGGAGGAGGTGACTCACTACTGCAAGACCTGCCAGCGGCTGGTGTGCCAGCTCTGCCGTGCCCCCCCCCCCCCCCAGCCACAAGATCACCCCGGTGCTCAGCGCCTACCAGGCCCTCAGGGTAAGCGCCGCGGGGGCCGCGCTTGGGGCTCGGCAGGGAGGAATCGGGGGCGCCGGCGGAGCCCTGGCACAGATGGGGTGTGCAGGTCGGGGGGCGCGGGGGTTGCCGGCACCTCGCCTCACCTCCTTCCCTGCAGGAGAAGCTGACGAAGAGCCTCGCCTACATCCTGAGCAGCCAGGACACGGTGCAGACCCAGATTGCTGAGCTGGAGGAGACGGTGAAGCACACGGAGGTGAGGGCGGAAGGCGCCTGCCTGTCCCCGAGCTGTCCCTAGGCAGGGGGTGGCACTGCCAGGCGGGTCCCCTCTCCGCCCCGGGGTGTGCGGCACGCTGACCCTGCCGTCCTCGGCAGGTGAACGGCTCGCAGGCCAAGGAGGAGGTGTCGCAGCTGATCCAGGGGCTGTGTGCCATGCTGGAGGAGAAGCGGGCGACCCTGCTGCAGGCGATCGAGGAGTGCCAGCAGGAGCGGCTGCCCAGCCTGCACTGCCAGATCCAGGAGCACCAGGCCATGCTGGAGAATTCGGGCATGGTGGGCTACGCCCAGGAGGTGCTGAAGGAGACCGACCACCCCTGCTTCGTCCAGGCTGCCAAGCAGCTGCACAACAGGTACTGGGGCTGCGGGGACCCTGGCGGGCACGGGGCTGACCCTCGGGTGCCCAAGGACCACCCTGACGTCCCTGCTCTCCCGTGCCGCAGGATCCTCAGGGCCACCGACTCGCTGCAGAGCTTCCGTCCCGCCGCCACGGCCTCTTTCAGCCATTTCCAGCTGGACGTCAGCAGGGAGCTGAAGCTGCTCACCGACCTGGCCTTCATCCGAGGTAAAGGCAGCAGGACCCGGGCACCGGCTGTGCCCCGTGCGGAGGTACAGCCCCTGCGGGCAGAGCGGCTCCCTGCCCGCCTCGGAGCCGGAGCTCAGCCGCGTCCGCGGGTGCTCGCGGATCTGCCGGTCCCCCCCGTCCCCGTCAGGGCCACCCCGGCAGCCCCCAAAGCCATCCCTGCCCCTGCCCTGTGCCGGGGGCAGGACAGGCAGGGCCGCGGTGCCAGGTAAGGGCAGCAGGAGCGCCGGAGGGTGAGTACGGAGCGGAGGCTGCCCCGCTGCAGGGCAGGAGCCGCGTAGCCCTGCCGGACCCGCTGCCGACACTTTTCAGACCTGCTTCTACCTCTCTTTGTTTATAGGCTGCGGCCGCTGCTGAGTCGTCACCGAAGTAACTGAGGCAAGTCACATCCCTGCCCCAGAGCCGGCCCCGCTCTCTCTGTCCCATCCCTCCATCCCCGCTCCCGCCCCGTCCCCACTCCGCTGCCATCCTCCATCCCCGTCCTGCCCGCGGGCGGTGGCTCCGCGCCCCTCTCCATCTGCTGCCGCTCCTCCCGCCCCCTCCTCGCCCCATCTCCGTCCCCTTCCTCGCCCCATCTCCGTCCCCTTCCTTGCCCCATTTCTGTCCCCTTCTTCACCCCGTTTCCATCCCTCTCCTCACCCCATCTCCGTCCCCTTCCTCACCCCGTTTCCATCCCCTTCTTCACCCCGTTTCCATCCCCCTCCTCACCCTATTTCTGTCCCCTCCTTGCCCCATCTCTGTCCCCCTCCTCACCCCATTTCCATCCCCCTCCTCACCCCATTTCCATCCCCTTTCTCGCCCTGTTTCCATCCCCTTCCTTGCCCCGTTTCCATCCCCCTCCTCGCCCCATCTCTG